TATAAAGATCTATCATCATACAGCTATCTATCCGTTAAATCGTACGATGGCAAAATTTCCATCTCTAGCATATTACGATAAGCCTATCGAATATATCTGGATCGGATAATGTGGCGGTTCTGATGCACTATTTAATTTTGATTTACCATTTTGTTTTCACGACTAAAACTGATATTTTGAGACAATGCTGTATAATACTCAAAACAATTCCAAATATTTTCAGCTATACAAGAAGTTAGCTCTATCTTTGAACTACATAATCCCAATACTTTCATTACATGACTCTTCATTATTCTGTAGTGAGGCGATTCAGTCCTGAAAGCGAAAATGCCGATGGGTAGTCTAACATAATGTCGAGTTTCTCTATAAATTTGACGTAATACTTACAGATTTTGTTCATCAGACTTTTATTTAAATAGGCTTATGCGATGTGGAAATATTGAATGGCCTCCAAGAATTACTCAAATAATAATTAATAATGCGAAGAAGAATGTTTTATACCGAGTTTTATTTCCCGATTTCACACAACAACATATTATTCATTTGACATGTAAAAATAAAAGGGAATACCTTGATTCTTGTGGGGCTTTTTGAAGTTTCACTTCGTTAAAAACTTTTAAGTTTCTAGAAAATATTGTTCTTATATCGGCTGCTATTATCTTACTATGTCTATCCATTTATATTTTGTGTATCAAACAACAAGAAAGAAGAAACGGCTTTGAAACAAAGTGCATTGTCTCTCTCACACACAAATCCTTCTACCCCCCGATTCTTTTTTTCTCATGTAGAGTGCGAATAGCGATTAACGAAAGAAATCGCTGTAGGGTAAAACTTATAGATAGATAAAAAGACATGTAACTGACTGTTAAAATTGACACATTGACAATAGAAAGTAACTTCCTTTATTCCTTTTCAAGATATCTTTTTTTGTAAAGAAAACTCAAATTCAGTTAAATGAAGAGGTTGGGGGTGAAAAGCCTTCTGGCAATGACATAAACTGTTCTTAATTCTAAATAAGAACAATACCTCGTTCGATCGAAATAACAAATGATATTTAGGATGAAAAGGATCTAAAGTTTCAGACTATTATCAATCACCTTTCTCATCTACTATACACCTTAAACCAGATTCTATCGACAGAAACAATGCTTATTTTTGTCAAAGTTCGTTCAATGAGAACGAAGAAAATTATGAGAAGATAGTTAGATTCTGAAAAACATATATTCATTCATAAATTCACAAAATCATGAAGATACTTGTAAAGAACAAGGTAAAACTCCACATTTTCATGCAGAATGAAACTATGCACTCCATCATTCAACAGTATGACATGGACTAGATTTTTACTAAATATAATTGTTTCTCGTTGTCAAGACGTCGAATTGTTCCTTTAGATGTTTTCCACAATTAACTATTTTTAGCATAAAACGAATTTTCTTTTTAATCATTACTTTGTGCATCTATATGTAAAATTTCATTTTTCTAATCAGACAAAAGGAAAAACTATTCAAATATTAAAAGAGAAAATTATATAAAAATAAATCTTTCTTAGAAACTTTTTTATGTCAGTATGACTGACAAGACACGAGAACACTGTTTGATATTCGACCTACCTTGCACTTGTAAGATCAAAGTGAATAACGTCTTGTGTAAAATACAAAAACAAGTGTATTGTTACTATATACCTTTTTCTTTGCTCAACTTAATTGAATGTTAATGGATAGTCTCCACCGGGTTTTAGATCATCTGTGAATAAATATCAAATAGCAGGAAACATCCATTAGTCGAAAAGAAGATGAATGAATATATAAATACTGTAAAATTTCAAAAATCGGCTCATAACGTTGCTTTAAGGTTCACACAGATGGAGTTATGTTATTATATAAAAAAATACTTTTTTGAACAATAAGAAAAAAAGATCGTGAGGCAAACGCTTAAAAACGAGAAGGAAAATAAAAAACAAAACAATGGAAAATGAAGCGAAAAAAAAAGAACGATACATAGATGCTATATGCCACTATATGTATATTTTGTATACATAAACACATCAACTCAAAGATTCCATTAGTGACAAGAAGATATAAAGGATCTAAAAGGAAATTTAAATATATAAAGCCTTCGACAATAACAAGTGATTGATAGAGAGAATGCAAATCGTTTTCTATAACAGAAAAACTGATGAAGTATACAAAATCAGCTTGAAAAAAGTGTCTAAATTATAATCAAGAAAACATCATTATTTTCGTCTTTTCTTTTCTTTTTCTTCTATTTTTGTGTGTGAAAAACTCTGTTTTATATCATTAAATTACATCTTTAGCATTTATAACTTATTAATTATCCAACGTGTGTTTTAACTCAATATCATGGAATACAAATAAAAAAATTGATTTCTTTCCAGTTTTCTTTTTCTGATGGCCTTATATCTGTTGTAAAATAAAAATATCTATAATAAAAAAACTTCTTTCAATTGTGTTTATTAGACTTATAATGATATTTTTATTTTGTAATGTTAAAATATCTTTTTTTTTGTTATTAGTAATAGTGATAGCGGTAGTAGCAAACAAGATAATTCACTTCGTATATCCGAAAAAAGAAAGATAAAGAAGCTTTTTCCCTATAGAATGAATATCAACGGAATTATGAAAAAAAGCCTCATGCTTGCGCATATAATACCATTACATTCTTTGTATGTTACTACTAATTGAACTTGTCTCACTAGATTGCTAGTTCAATGTTTTCAATAATTATTTCAAGCATTTTGTCAATAAAACACGACGTAGTATATTCATTGACTATGAATCGCTAGAAAGACTTTATTAATAAATATTATTAAAAAAAGTATAGCAAGAAACGAGATACTCTTTTTTTTAGTGTTATTAACCAAATCAAATCAGTCAATAAACGTTACAAAGATTGTCTCACTGTCCTTGGCCAAAATTACTTTGCTGTTTCATTCTTCTTCACTTTGTTTCTTCTTTTCTTGCCAGTCTATTTGATGTGTTCAATCTTCAACATATCTAACAAGTGGACTAAATGTTTCTATACAACTTCATACGTTGATATCTCCATTATCACTAAATGTTTTCTAGTTAAATTGCTGCTGTCTGTTTGATTTATATGTAAAGACTTTCTAAAGCATATCTTGGCTACTGGAGAAAAACATTTTGATGAATAACGTCAAAAAATGAATTGGACTTTGTGGTCTGGCGAAGAAGAAAAATTGCTAAGATAACAGAACTAAATAAAAGCTGGATGGAAGGCTCGGTTTTTTTATCGAGAAAATACGATACGTTCTTGTTGTATACTTTTTAACCAAATCATTTTAATCTGGTCTTTTGTTGTAGTTTTGTTGGTTCAGAGACATGTTCTAAAAGTAAATTAAAAGAAATTTTTGTTAAATTGTATACATATGTTTTGGTCCACCTATGTGCATTTTTGTTTTGTAAAAGAATTGTTTACGAAATTTCTGAAGGAGACCAAGGGCTGAATGAGACTGAGAAATTTTTCTAGAGTACCCCGATTCAAAACTTGTTGCATACAAGGTAACCGACTATAAAGGAGTCCGAATCTGCAACACGTTTTTAAAATCTCGAGACTGAATTGATGTGCAGCACTGAATCTCTCAAGTTCAACAAGTTTTTTACTTTTGTCTTTATTTTCTATTCAAAATTTTCATATAGCGCAGCTGTGTAATCACGACTATGTCCATAAATAATTATTTTATCGTGACTACAAGATGATCAGCGTGTCACGATTATTATTAGCATAATTAAGTGCTTCAGAGTCAATTTTACGCGATTTTTATAACCAGCGTTTTTGTAATTGTCATAATTCGATCATTATTAGCCGTTATATCCGCTTCTCATAATACGAAAATCACGGCATTCTTACTGCGACGACAGTCGATGCGTGATGCAAAAAAAATGAAATTCTTGCTATCTCACTTATGGTTTTAATTAAAAATTAAAAATATCTAGACTATAACGATCATTTCCTCTGCAAAATTCAGTGGATGAGTCGCTGCTGTCGGTGCTTATTTTGGCCAAAGTCTCTCTACATCAGAGTTGTAATCGGTCTAGAAATACTAGACCGGTCCGGTCCAGCCGGTCTAAAATATTTCAAGACCGGTAAAAACCGGCGAGTTCACCAAGTTTTTTCAGGTAATAAAATTGATATTACGGACAAAATTTTGTCCTGAATACCTAGAGAAATTTTGGAAGAAATTCACTATGTCAAATAACAAAGCCAATTAGGACGAATTTGCATCTCAGTTAGGAAGCTACGGTATCGGCGACGCCATCTCGATTGAGAACAATTTGAAACTGTGCATTCTTGAAGGAAACAGTATTTTATAATCGATTTTAAAGGAGAACATATTCAGCGGCTGCACTCTCGAATGAGAACAATTTATAAACTTATTCTTAAAGAAGAACATTGTCAAACAATACACTCTCGAGGGAGAACAAACAGCCACTGCAACAGATGCTAATACATAGTGATTTTGTGATTGTAAAGAATATAAACAAAATACATATTTAAGCTTCCGTATCCGAAACTTCGTTGTTTAAAAGCCATCTGACAAACTATACAAGATTCTATAACATGATTTTCTAGCAACATTAAAATACTCTTGAAAATCTATACATCCACGCAAATATTAGTACTTAGCATGGATTATTTCATTTTGAACAACGGAAGAGAAGCAATACTAAGCAGACAACTTACTCAGTACAATGCCACGTTACAGTGCCATCAACGTTACGCGTACGAAAGCGACAACGATACGTTTTATACAATAACAACTTATGACCATCTTTACTAGTATCTTCAGTAGCAAACGGTAATAGCATTTTTTGTTTCTCGGTAATGATTTGCGAAGTTCATTGCTTTTATAAGATTGAACGTTCACCACGTTGATCGTCTTGGTATTCTTTAATCTTTTGAACTGCCTTATGATGATCTAAACAGTCTCTTCGGCATTATTCTTTCTCTAGTTCAGAGCTTTAAGAAGCTTCTTAATTAGCTTATGCTTTAATTTGTTATCTTCCATTTTAGGGAAGCCGTCAAAATTCGCATCGGTGAATAAATTCACCGGTAATTTGATTGGAAACAAAATTGAGAACAGCATTATTCAATATACCTGAGAAAAAGAATATGGAACTATCGTATAACAGAATGACGATGTATGTATATGTTGTGGCCAAGCTTAGAATTCGGCCAGATTCCGAATTTGGTCGGCCAAAACTGGAAGTCGAACTCTGGCTGGCTAAATTCAGAATTTGACGGGCCAAAAGCTGAATTTTAATTTTGACCAGATCAGAATCGAAATTTGAAATTATTATTATTATAGTATTATTATATAATATAATATTAATATTAATTATTCATCCGACATAGTTTTCTTACATTTCATGAACAATGGCTTATTCAGAGGTGTAATATGCACACCGACTTTGAATAAAATCGAGCTTTTGTGATATATATTATATTAATTATTATATATTTTGTTTTATTACTTATATTAATTATTTATTCAACATAGTTCTTTTAGATTTTCAAATTCTTTCCTATACTGGCGTATATAGTCTTTTCTGTACCAGCACTTGTCGTGTTGGGATTATTTACAACAAATTACGGATCATACTCAAGACAGAGAATCTATACTGTATATCACCGGAATATACCAGTATTACATTAAATTACGTTGAACATCTAGTTAACTTGCAGGTAAAAAAAAGGTCGACTCTTTCTAAAAGAATGAAGATTTTGAATAATGAGATTTTTTTTACGTTATTTTGATACAGTAGAATGATATGCACATGATATATACAAAATGATTACTTGACATCACTATTTATATTAAAATTGAAGAAAGAGAGAGAAATGTAAAGAAGTATTTTTGAACTTTTAATAAAAGAATATAATAGACTAAATAGTACGAAATGTGAAAGAAAAAGAAGTAGCGATACCACAGGCATTAACAAAAACAAGAAAAGAGATCGTCATGCCATAGATATATCTAACAAAGAATGAATATCGAAAGATACGAAAAATGAAATAGTATAACAAGTACAAGTCTCTCTCAAAGCAAAAATAATGTTTTTTATTTCTTTCGTTCTTTTGTGAGAACGACTGCTTATGTGTAGTAAGGCGACTAAATAGAACAAGAGCAAGTTATGTCATATCGAATATAACATTACTTTAGAAAAAGTTAACATCAGTACGTACACTCAATTCTTTCTATCTTTATCTATCAACAAAATTTCACTTGTCTCGTTCTTATTTATGTTGACAGAACCAATACAGATCCGAAACTTTTACCATGTTTAATATTTTCAAAAGAAAAAAACGGAGATGACGTTGCTTTTCAACTAGCTTGTCATTTCGGGAAACTGGTTTCATCATTTGCAGTCGAAAGTTTGGTTCCATTGAAACATGTCTGTCCGTCTGAATTGAAAGCTGTTGATATTGCTGAATTGGAAAATATAACATTGATTGAAGCTTGTAAACTATTTGTATGCGGATCAGTGAGTGGTGCCACGTGTGATTGTAAATCTCAATGTGCAACGACACATTGTCCTTGCAGAAAAGCTAATGTTAAATGTTCTACAAAATGTCATTCAAAACGAACTGGTGGTTGCAAAAATATAGAATAAAAAGATCGAGAATTGAAAATTAAATATTTGTACATAGAGAAGCGAAGATGCTATATTGGAGAAAGGTCATGTTTTGTATATAGAAAAAATTATACTTGAAGAACTTGAATTATAATTGTACATAATATTATTTGCATGCTTGTTATTTACTAATGCATTACTAACCCAGTAGAGGAACACAAAAACCTAAAAAAAGTAAAAAAGAATCCCTAAAAACCCATTATATGTGAGGCAGTGTTTATTTGTGATTCTTAATTCGGTAGACCTGCTCCCATTAACATTGCGTTATAGGAAAAATCATCGTCAAGATCAAAAGCTCGATTTTATTCAAAGTCGGTGTGCATATTACACCTCTGAATAAGCCATTGTTCATGAAATGTAAGAAAACTATGTTGAATAAATAATTAATATTAATATAATATAATATTATATAATAATACTATAATAATAATAATTTCAAATTTCGATTCTGATCTGGTCAAAATTAAAATTCAACTTCTGGCCCGTCAAATTCTGAATTTAGCCAGCCAGATTTAGACTTCCAGTTTTGGCCGTTTAGATTGTAAGTTTGGCCGGCCAAAAGCAGAATCCCAGTTTTGGCCGGCCAAATTCGGAATCTGGCCGAATCCTAAGTTTGGCCACAACATATATATTCTTTTCTGTACTATACTTGACTTGATATTTTTTTCTTTCTATGCACACTATAGAGAGAGATATAAAGCAAGAAACTCATCTGACGACGACGACGCAGTTACCAACAACTGACTCAATGATGATGCAGCTAGTGAAGAATATCAAGAATCAGCAGACTATTGAAAGAAAGATTCTCCTAAACTGAGCGTACCCAAAAGAGACAATAAAATGCAGTTTTAAAAGAAATATACATACATCCAACACAGACATCATCCATCATTCCAACACTGTCTCTCCAGAGGCCTTAAGAAAGTAACGACTGTAAAAACCTAACTAACAGTCTCATCAACGCCACCGCAATTCGCAAGCGATCAACACCATCAGACTATTCACCTATCTGCCAGATGTTCCATGGCACCAGATAACATTTCACTTTCGTCACAGCAATGCTCATCTGACGACGACGACGCGGTCACCAACAACTGACTGAGTGATGATGCAGCTAGTGAAGAATGCCAATGATTACACTGTACATCTATCTCCTAGATGTTCAACTGACGCAGTGGTTAAGCAGCTACTGAAGAATGTCAAGAAGCGTTGATGGGACTGTTAGTTAGGTTTTTATAGTCCTTACTTTCTGATCAGGGCTCTCAAATTATTTTTTTCGAATGTGGGACAGAAAGTTCCAAATGGGGGACAAAATGGGGAACGCTTATTTTAACGAAATAACGTCATGTCAATCTAAAATATCCGATGAGCTTAACTAAAGTCACATATTACAAATAAATTAAAATCTGTCTAAAATATTGTGAATTTTTTAACCATTTATCGTTAGAATTACGTTACTGTCGTTTCTTCTTATAGTTCTAATTTAGAGTTCATTCTTCCAAAGCTAATTTTTCAAATTTCAAACAATAGATTTTTCCTTTCAATTAGATTTTATCGACAAATTCATATCACACATCTGATAAACCCTGGGACCCGCACGACAGCAAGAGTGATGTTTTTAGGGACGGCTCAGGAATCTCAGAATAACTCTATTACTACAAACTATCCAAACACCTATATGATAATGACCTTTATGACAAGACATGCTAAAGAGGGCATAAACTTTTGCATATTATGTAATAACCCGCCAATCTTTTCATCTCAAATATGGCGCTGAAGTAGTAGGACTTCAAACAAATTGCCAGTGGGGACGAAATATGTTCCCCAAGGGAGATTTATTTACTGGGAGACAAAATGATCGAATGGGGGGTCATTTGTGAACCCTGATTCTGACCTCGGTATTTGTTGTAGCAGAGCCGAAAAAAACGAAAAACAGGAACTGAAATGTCATTTAGTCCTTGTTCCAAAAATCCAAAACTTTCATCCAATTAATTTCACCGAAGAAATTCTCTTATACAGCAAATAATTATCGACAGTCCACATACTAAAAAATGCATTTTCGTATTCAGTACACTCGATAACCCAGAGGATTTTCTATTGTTGGTGAGGGAGACTACTGCTAAACGTTGAGAAAACTTTTTCAAATGAAATGGGAAAAAAATTTCCATTAGAAAACAATATCCGTCTCAAAACTTTTTTTACACTTTTGGAAGTACCCCTCACTAAAAATAAAAAATCTTCCGGGTTGTCAAATGTGGTGAATACGGCGAAACACTTTTGCGCGACTCTAAATAAATTTTATTTTTCTGCCTTTAATACACAAATTTTAAGAGTAAACCAATTTTAAGCAAGAGAAAATTTGAGCTGAGACCATCTTATATGAAATTCATTTTCGCATGCAGTAGCGCACTCATTTCTTTCAAAATTATTTTGTTCTCTCACCATTTGTGAAGTCATAGTTTCATTTTTTGATTGGTAGAACCGTTTAAGATATGAAGGTCACAAAATCTGTAGGTTTAAACTAAATGTGAACGTAACAACTTAAAAGGAATAAACATTCAATTAGAATTTTAATCTTTTTCTTCTCTTTAATTATGTGCATCCCAAAGAACAATCTGATCTGACATTTTTCTCTTTGCTCTCATATGCCTAAAACATCTTATCTTTCACAGTCAATTGTCTCAACAACATCAAATATGCATCCAAAGTTAAACCTTTTGTTATCACTTGGGGATAGTCTGTGCCCTAAAGATGGATTATAAAATCAGGAACAGGTGATAGAAAGTAAACCGTTAGTCTTCCGACAGTTTGTTGAAAGCAAAAGTTCTATTATATTAGACGAATTTTTTATTTTTAAAATTCTATAATTTTCTCCTCTTTGTCTTCTGCGCTAAATTTGGTTTTCATTTAGCGAAACCTTCTGTATAAAGATTTCCGCTATAACTTGAAGCAGTTGCTAGTTATCTAGAAATGTAGAAATTTAAATATCAAAGCAAAAACTTTCTTTCTAGAAGACTTTTTCTTTCTATAATAAATCACAATCAACGTTTTCTGCAAAGAAATACGTATAACAGTAATGCGAATTTATCGTCAATGCAAAGATTAAATATGTTCGTACCATTATCTGTTTACACTTCATCTCGATTAATATTTCATTTTATTTAGGATGTAGTATTCAGCTACAAACATATGAGTTCGAAACTGATATGCATAGTGATCAGGTAAAAAAACGTATGCATTGGATATCAATTATGTATATTTTTCTTAAAAATCATAATTAACATATTTTTTCTTATTCTTTATAGCCAGAAGATTTTGATCATCGATTTAAGTGAGCAGTTTATTTAATATAAAATTTTGGAATCATTCCTCCTATATATGATATATACACACTTTTTAGTCGAAAAATTATTCTTTGTGCTCGGCTTTCTCAGTTATTTGTGCCCGGGCCGGACACGAATAAATTTTTTCACACTTTTGTATCCGGAAAAAGAAATGTTCATGGTAATTGCACTGATTCGTGCTCGGTTTACGGTTTTTAATTGGAATTTCGAGAAATGAGAGTGTTGTGTTCGGTTTGTTTGCGAGACTCGGTATTATGGATGAAACTTTCTGTCAGCATCACTACAACCAAACACCGAAAATGTCAAACCATTTGACTTCAATTTAAACATAGTATGGACTTGTAACAATTTCGATAAAGCTCCAACAGAGATCAGTTGATGTATTGTAAAAAAACAAAGATATCAGCACAGGAATTAATATAGAATCTTGGCAAAACTGTATTGTGCGGCGATGAAAAATTCGATATTGCTGAACGTTGTTCATACCAAGAACGAAAATCATCCACAGAATAAACATTTAGTCTATGTAATGCAAGATGGTAATTCAGAAGACTAGAAATGTGTGTGGAAGTCACTGTACTGATATATCCATTTTGAACAGCTTGACGAACTTGTGGTTGTGATAATCCTGCAGCTACGGATTTAACAATAATTTCTCTAACAGGTGACGACGCACGTGTTATTGCATTACTATGCAAATGATTATGTGTATGTGGGAGTGACCATTGGAATTCAGGGAAATTCCGAATTCCACTAAAAATAAAAATCATACGGATTATTCTAATTTACACTACAGTAGAAATCGGAATTTACTATATTTCATTTATTATATGTGTATTAGTTCCGGTGTAGATATAGCAGCAGAAGCCCGCCGTTGTAAAGGTCAATGTGCCACGAAACATTGTCTATGTAAAGCCAAAAAAGTAAAATGTGTTACGAAATGCCATGGCAGTAAAAGAAAGTTTATTTCAAACGTTTAGTGATTTTATTAGGTTTTTGCCCTGGTGATATAAAGTAATATAAGGTCATATCGTCTATATTTTTTATTTTTTTCACTCATTTCGATTATACTGGGACAGATCTCTAGCAGTTTTCTCTTGTTAATTTACATTCACTCATAAATGTAAAATACATATATAAATAAATAATATATAATAAATAAAATATAGTAAATTCCGATTTCTACTATAGTGTAAATTAGAATAATCTATATGATTTTTATTTCTAGTGGAATTTGGGATTCCCCTATTAGAATCCCAATTTCCACTAGTGGAATTCCGAATTCCTCTGAATTCCAATTTACACTGCTACATGTAATTGATGTTAAAACTATGAACTCACTCTCATCTTTCATTACACAACGAATTTGAAAATGATATTCAGGAAACTTTCTGTACTTTGAGCCTCGATACATAACTTATTGACCTCCGTTTATTTGTTTTGTACGTTTAATAGATACATTTTGACCATTTATATAAAGCGCCGCTAATGCATAGTTACGACACCTCTCAGATTTTCTTCGCTTATACATAGATCGATGGAGTTTGAAGAGCTGCATCTACTGGTGGTCGTTTTTTCCAGGAAATCTTTTGTCGACATGGTGAAATTCGCGAAATACCAGAAGGATGAAAAAAC